ACAGGTTCTCTCCAAGAACAGACTTCAGTAAAGTGATCTCCAGTGATTTTACACAACGCTCTGTGAGTGGACAGTAATTCTTTGTGTGCCCTAAACTCTGGCATCTTGTACATTGTAGCACTTCTCGAGAATGTCTGTTTGCTTCTAAAGACATCTTAGTTCTGTAAAAAAATGTCATTGGAGTAAATATTTCTCTTATTTTTCTATTGTTCCAATTCCACCACAAAGATATTTATTGGGAATCCTGTGTATCCATGTTCTAAGTTGTAAATTCTTAGAACATTGTGACATTTTTCACTAATTCTTTTTTAGTATGTCTATATCTGTGCTATGATGTTCATTTTTTATCACAACTTAGAACAATCGCTGTGATTTTGTTTGATATTAATGTAGTTCAGTTACCTTTTCTTTCAAATGTTTTAGTACGATGTTATACGTCTGTGAATCCTTTGGGTTCATTTTGAATTGCTGCAGTCCAGTTGTTTTGTAATAATGTGTGTCCTTGGCGTGTAATTCTATTAATTCGATTGATGTCGTCAATAGCGTAGGCAAAGATTAAGGGTGGATTAAGTGTTCATTCCAATGGTTCAACACTAGAATGCATTTTCACTGTTGCTTCGTTGCAGTAATTATCCTATCTTCTTTTGTTTGTAACGGTTGTCCATCCCTGGTATTGATTAACAACTTTCATGATTCTATTGATTGGTTTGGGAGTTGTGGGTACTTCGGTGTTTTCATTGTCGTTCTTGTTAATGTGTTGGTACGTCGTGCAATCCGTACTGGTGGTATATATGAGCTGGGTCACTGACATTTTTAATTGCTTTTATGTTAATTCTTTCACTTGAGTAGTCACTTAGGACCATTTCACTATCAGTATTGTCATATTCCTTTTAAATCACAGTATTCATTGCTTACGCAATTGATTTGCGCAATTGTTAGCTGAACAGCTAACCGAACTTACGTCTGGTGGTCGGCCTTTAGGTTGTGCAATCTTTCTTGATTGCATGGCTCACTTTAACATGTAACGCACCTATTTTGACATGACTGATATCACCAATACTTGTTAAAATAAAGATATAAGTAGTGGTGTGTATGGCATCGTGCCTTAAGGCAAATTGCTGGAACTTCGCGCACCGTAAAGAAATGTTTGAGGAATATTGAATGTTTTCAAATAGATTATTATAAATAAATACTGTAACATTGTCTAATATTTATAAGAATTATATAAACTGAATTGCAAAGTTGAAAATATTTGGTTAAAGTATATTATAACTTAAGTCAGAATTGCAATTAAAATCTGAATTATTTTTGATATACAAAAAAAAAATTTTTGAAAAAAAAATTGAAACAATTTTTTTTAAAAAAAGCAATTATTTTGTTAAAACAAGCAGAAAGTTGTTATTTCAAATATCGTTTTAATTAAGGATTATGCATAATAGTATAGCAGTTCATAACAATTATTATGAGTACTTATAGGTAGAGATATTCTATTCAATATATTTTCATATATAATTTAATTAAAAAAACAAACTTCAAGATATTATTTAATATATTTTATGACTAACTTAGTATACTTGCATTCCTATACACTGCTGTAGCATGAATAAATATCATAAACCGATGTACCATTATTATGTATAATTTTTATCAATTTGTTTTTTTATTTAGTGATAATTGTATGAAATATCAATCATATAATAAACTTGTGCAATATATAAATAAAGCCCGGTGCACACGACGCCAGTTTTCATGCTGGACAGTTTTTGTTTGTTTTTTACCCTAGGAACGACATGATAAACCATAATTTACGATCTTGCGCGACATAATTTGCGATCTGGCCTGCTAGATTTCACGCATTCATAACGGCGGTATACTCATCATTATTTCTAAGTAAAACCGTTGCCTTAACAACGTCGAAATTTGATTTCATAACAACTTCAGTCCTTGCAAATTCCTGCCGTATTTTACGAATGGAGCATGTCCTATGTCGGCGATAGATGAACGATCTCGTGGCCGATACCTTCAGTGTCCAATAGGAAAGCTGTATTTTGACACGAAAATATCAATGCGTACTTGATTCATTTACTTCGATTTTGGAAGCGCTTAGTTTTTATTTTGTAAATAGCTATTGTATATATATAGCGGAGTGAATAAATGATTAGTTTAGGAAAGGCAGTTCAGTAATTTTAAAATATTCAAATTTCCGAAAAAATTTAAATATGCATATTTTTTCAAATTTTCGTAATTTTATCTGAAATATCAAAAAAATTCAAAATTTCCAAAAAATTACAAAGAAATTCAAATCGTTTTATTTCAAAAATTTCGAAATTTGCAAAAATACTCAAAATTAAAAAAAAATTAGTTGGGTGTATGGCATCGTGCCTTAAAGCAAATTGCTGGAACTTCCCGTACCGTAACGAAATGATCGAGGAATATTAAATGTTTTAAAATAGATTATTATAAATATTGTAACATTGTCTAATATTTATAAGAATTATATAAACTGAATTGGAAAGTTGAAATTATTTGTTTAAAGTATATTAGAACAGAATTAAAATAAAAATCTGAATTATTTTCAATATACAAAAAAAAAAATTTTTTTTCAAAAAAAAAAAAATTTGAAACAAGAATTTTTTTTCCAAAATTAATTGTTTCGCTAAAACAAGCAGAAAGTTCTTTGAATCATTTGAATCGGACGCTTAGTTCTCTTAAAAACTGCCATTTTTTGGGCTGGGCCTGCCTTTGCCAAAAACTAATTACCACTTCTCCCAATCATTACTAGTTGAATGTTTTTAGATCATTCAAATCGGATGCTCCGTTCTCTCAAAAACTCGATTTAAATTTTCTGCACTCATTGCTCTTTATCTCCGTAATTGCTGGACCTGCCTTTGCCAAAAACTAATCAGCACATCTCAAAATTTTTGAAGGAAAAAACTAAATATCTTTTAAGTTATCGTCGATCTCCAACGGCACAAAAAAAGGCCTTTCACTGCTGCAGTGATTCCGGCCTTCTACGTGGATCAAATCCAAAAAAAAAATCGTTAAACTAGATAATGTTGTCTGTAAAATGAACTATGATAAAACAGAAATCAAAAAATGATTAAATGGCGGCGTTTTTTATAAAAAAGATTTTGGACTGCCAAAATTCGATTTTTGATCCTATCAAAAAATCGATAGTTTATTTTACGAGAACTATATATAAAGCATGTACAAAAAAATTGATAGTGATCGGATCATTTGTTTTTGAGTAATCGCTGCAGCAAATTCGAAAAATGCTGTTTCGAGAAAAACGCGTTTAAAGATAAAATGATCGTTATACTATATACTATATATATACTCTTTAAATGGCTGTGACTCAAAAACTATTTAAGATATCGATTTGAAATTATGGTATGTTATTTTTAAAGGTATAACCTATCGAAATATGAAAAAATATGAAAATTCGACTACAGTTTGAAAATTTCACACTAGTTGTGCCCCTTAAACTGAAGCATTTTATTATCTTTTAATTATTATTATTTCACTTAATTCTAATCAGATGCGATACGTACATGTTTTTGTTTACAATTCATACAATTCTCTGTTTGTACACTTATAAGCATTAGTGTATTTTAGACCTATAAAATATAAATTGTGAAATTCACAGTATATATTTATAATAATCTATTTGAAAATGTACGAAATTAATATTAATCATAAAATAAGTGAAAATCTGGCGCAAAATTCTTGCTCGCTAGAAATCCTGTTACGATAGAAATCATATTACAAGGCATACTGGCGTCGTGTGCACCGGGCTTAAGATATATTTAATCATATATAAATACAATCATTGTTATACACTTATATATGAATATATAACTATTCAAAATATAAATGTATACCTATATCTTGTGTTTTATTAAAAATTTATCAAGACGCGCGGCGAGCTGTGCTGTTGACGACTTACATGGATGTTATATGAGCGAGAGCTTGTACTTGCTCAGGTTTATTCTACTTTTGAACGTGTTCTACCACATGTAATAAAACAAAATTTTGGACAGTAAAAGAAAATTGAATAGCCTATCTAATGATGCTAATTAAAAATTAGTCCAAACAAACGCACTACCCGAAAATTTTAAACAAAAAATTATTTTCACTTTTTCATGCACTAAAAAATAATTATTAAACAATATTGTAATTAATAATATAGTACACGCCGATATGAATAGAATTATTTGTTTTTTGATATCTTTTACGGTTGCGTCAAAAAACGACTTTGAAAAAAGGGGCCACTTTCACATATTTTTAATTTTTCTTTACCTTTTTAATATTTTTATAACAATATCAACTATCCAATAAAGATACTGATTTGAAAAATTAATAATTGTTATGTTAAACTGCATCATTTTATTATATTTTCATCAATATTATTTCATTTGAATGAAATATGAATTCATCTTAATCGGATACGATACTTATATACTTATTGTTTACATTTCTGTTTGTACATATGTTAGTTCATTAGTGCATATGTTAGGCCTATAAAATATGAATTGTGATATTCACAGTATATATTTCTAATAATCTCTTGAAGATGCATAAAATTATTATTAATCATAAAATAAGTGAAAATCTGGCGCCAAATTCTTGCTCATCTTACCAGAAAACTTGACAGAAATCCTGTATGAAAAAATACTGGCGTCGTGTGCACCGAGCTTTAGATATATATAAAATTTTGTGTTAAGATAAAACTTTGTGTTGCAGCATATTACTTAGAAGAAAAAGACGTTTCAAAACTACCGCTGAATAATTTATTTGTTTATTATTGTACTTGTGCATTAATTATGAATTGTATTATTACTGATCGTTAAAGTAATCAAAAAGTGTTAGTTTTTGCCTAGCAATAAAATATTTTGATGATTTGCTCACTGGAGGCGCGCCCTTATTTATTGCAATCCACGAAAGTGTCAATATAAGCAAAGAGTGGTCTTAGATTTTTATCCATTTACAGATTTACTTACTAAAAGTTGATGGTGCTGGTGACACTAACGGCATCTCCATTGGGTGCCACAACCGAAATATGTGCAGTGCCGTGGTCGTCTTTTGAGTAGAATGAGGCTCCGTAATCTTTGGCTTCCTGTGACGTCTCATCATCTCTGATCATAGATCGAATCGTGTCGGCATATTTCATTGATGTGAGTTCTTCCATCAGCTATATTTTTTCAACAAAAATTTTATATCAATATGTATGTAGTATCTTGCATGATAAATAAGACAGAACATTGTATGTATATTAATTTAACTTTTCAAAGTAGAATGGGACAGATTTAAATAATTCAACTGATTTAAGCATATTTGTTGGGAATCGTGCTTATTAGTTTTTGGTAAAGATCTGCCGGGCGGTTTTTTTATAAATGTCAATTTTTTGGCGTTTTTAACTAAATTTACACGATAAAATATTATAATCCTACAAACTGTGGTTGAATTATAAAAATTCATGGCACACACATTTGCTAGGGATGATGCCTCTACGGGGGCTTAAGTTTCGGAAGCTAAGTAAGAACCGAAGTAAGACGTATTGAAATGTAATAATAGATGCGAAGGTGCAAAACGCATTGTAATATAAAAGTTAAAAATAAAGTGAATTGTTGTGAAGTGAAGGACGAGGCCTTATGAATGCACATCATGGACACGGCAAATACATACCGATGATCGTACAGATAAGACTAGGTTTAGTTTTATATGACGTTTAGATTGAAAAATATTTAGAATAAGGTTATAAGTATGTGTGAATATGAAATGTTTAATTACCTGAAAAGGACAAGAAATACATGACACAACCATACTCCAAAATGTGTCACAACCGTACCCAAAATACTCTTTTGAGTATTAACTAATATAAATGAGCTACATTATCTAAGCAAAAACTAATTGCTGATAACTACTAATAATTTACTAGTAACTAATAATTTACTAGTAACTACTAATGTTTAATTTATACTTGTTTATCTGCGTGTTCAACTTATAGCAAAATAACAAACCAAGTGATCTATCTGCATGCAAATAACAGTCATGATTAAAAGAATTCAAACATGATAGCTTACTTTTGACTTTTCAAAAGCAATGCAGTTCATCCCTATTATAAAACCCTATCTCAAAATCAGTATAGCTTAGCTCTTATGACGAATGTCACTACCATACCCTAGAAAATCCCTGTCCAGTCCCTATACTTAGTACGAATAAAGGTACACGTAGGATAGGGCGGGGCACAAAGGTCCAATTTGACTTTGAACAATTATTCGGTGCAAACAGACCAATTACGTGACAAAAAATAACATATATTAAACAAACAATAATCATACTATGTTGCGTTAACACCTAGCATAATTATAAAAAAAAATCATTTGCTCTTTTTACCCATAGGCATAAAAAGGGACAGACAGTGCGCAAAAAGATCTTCAAATAAAATTTAAATTTTGAAATATTTTATGATATTATAGCTAAACTGTTTAATCAATTCGATGCAGCTTAATTAGGTCGAACAACAAAATTAAAATTAATAATTTAAATATACTATATTATTAAATAAAATGAACAGAAATAGTTATAAACTTTCACTATTATCATAAATTTTCTTAGATTAAAATTTTGTTTTTGTTTAATTTATCATCATAAATCCATTTTTTCTTGAAACACATTTACTACAAACTGTATACAATTTATATATACAACTTCTATTTGCTATACATTTCATAGACACATTTCTTACAAAAATCGCACCATACAAGCTTCGTATATATTGCTAAAATTTTACCTCAATCGGTGCACAACTCTAAGTCTTTTAAATAATTGAAAACAAACATAATCTATATTTAGTTAATTGTAATATTTCTAAAGTCTTTACAAGTTATTCTGAATCAGGCTTTTGAACCAAAATTGGAAAGAGTATGTGAATGTATATTCAAACCAAATTTGACTTTTATCCACGATTTCCTAGAAACAATTGCACTGATTTAAAAATTTAAAAGTAATTTGATAACACTGAAATAATTCTCATTTATTAGTTTTCCGATATGGTTAACTAAATATTTTTTTAATTAGCAAAGAAATTCAAAATTGTTCTCCAATGATTTTGAATAAGTCAGTTGGAAATTATGTTAATTAGGTTTTAGTGAAGAACGATTGGATCGTCTCTTCGTAATTATTGAAATTTCTGTTGTAGATATTTATCAAACTTTGGCCCACGTAATTTGGTTTATTTATTCAAATACGTTCAAGTTAGTTTTTTCCTGTCATTTTGTCTTGTTTTTAACTTCCCGTAGAGTAGGTTATTGTAAACGGACAAAAATCGAAATTGAAAATTTTCACCATATTTTCACGTTTTGAAGGTTTCTGAACATTTTGGTATACCTTAGAAAAAATAGATCTGTATTTGTGTATGTGAGTGTGTGTGTGTTTTGTGTGTGCGCAATTTTTGACGACGTTTTCGGACACACGGATCAACCGATTCGAATAGTTAAAAAAACATTCGATTCCTATTGATAGAAAGATGTGCCGATTAGTTTTTGGCAAAGGCAGGTCCAGCCGTTTTGTAGATACCGTGCAAAGACACATACGTACACATACATCAATTTTTTTTAAGGTGTGACAAAATGTTCAAAAACCCTCAAAACGTGAAGATATGCAGAAATACCTACTTACTCTACGGGAAGGAAAATTTACTGACGAGCGATACGAAACTCGACGTGCGGAAGAAACTGATAAGGTGCTACATTTGGAATATGTCAGATCAGAAACACGAGGAAAAGCTGATAAAAACTACATTGTGAGATTTGAAACGAGATGCTGAAGAATTATAGAAATAATAATAAAACTAGTGGGGTGCATGGCATCGTGCCTTAAGGGAAATTACTGGAACTTCCCGTACCGTAATTAAAAATTCGAATAATAAAAATAAGCAATAAGTGTTTTAAATAATTTCAAATAGATTATTTATGATAAATACATACTGTAAATTAATAAGTGCTTATTATACTGGACGACAACCGTGTTCTACAAACAACTTATGTGTATGTCTACAAGTTCGTTAATTTTTTTTAATTTGATTTTTTAAATTATTTTGAAAATTTTGAAAGTTTTGAATTTTTTATAAGACCGTCTACACAAGCAAAATGTTTTTTGAATTATTCAAATCGGACGCTTCGTTCTCTCAAAAACTGAATTTCCATTTTTGGCTCTATTTGTCCCATATCTTCAAAACGGCTATACCTGCCTATGCCTAAAAACAAAACTAGCACGTCTTCTCATCAATACGATTTGAATGTATTCTAAATTATTAAAATCGGTTATTTCATACTGTCGAAAATGTCGAGGAGATTTGTTTGAACCATATACTTGAATATTAAAATTAAAAATCTTGGTACGGAATCCAAAAAATTCACACAAAATGTATACACATTATTAAAATCTCTATAAAGTATATAATAATTTGATATGCATATGTCCAATAAACATTATTGAGACTCCACAACCGCTGAACCTGCCTACCCAAAAATTTGAACAGTCCTTCGTTTAGTCAATATAAAGACAATGTTTTTTGAATTATTCAAATCGGACGATTCGTTCTATAAAAACTGAATCACCATTTTTGGTTCTTTGTGCCCCGTATCTACGAAACTAGACCTGCCTATGCCAAAATCTAATCAGCACGTCTCCTTGTCTATACAAATCGAATGATTTTTAACTTCCCGTAGGGTAAATTATAGTAATCGTTCAGAAAGCAAAATTTTTTTTTTACATTTCTTCACGTTTTGAAGGATTCTGAACATTTTGGCATCCTCAGAAAAAATGGATGTGTGTGTGTGTGTATGTATTTATGGATACAATATTTCCTCCACGTTTTCGTACGCACGGATCAACCGATTTGAATGGTTCAAAAAACATTCGATCCTTATTGATAGGGAGATGTGCTGATTAGTTTTTGGCAAAGGAAGGTCCAGCCGGTTCGGAGATACGGAGCAAAGAGATTTTTGAGTGATCGGAGCATCCGATTTGAATGATGCAAAAATCATTCAATTCGTAATGAAGGGGAGAAGTAGTGATTAGTTTTTGGAAAAGGCAGGTCCAGCGGTTTCGGAGATACAAAACTAAATGTGCACAAAATGGCAGTTTTTGAGTGGACTAAGCGTCCGATTTGAACGATTCAAAGAACTTTCTGCTTGTTTAAACAAAATAATTGCTTTTGCAAAAAAAAAATTGTTTCATTTTTTTTTCAATTTTTTTTTCAATTTTTTTTTCTGTATATCGAAAATAATTCAGATTTTTATTGTAATTGTGACTTAAGTTATAATATACTTTAAACAAATATTTTCAACTTTGCAATTCAGTTTATATAATTCTTATAAATATTAGACAATGTTACAGTATTTATAACAATCTATATGAAAACATTTAATATTTCTCAAACATATTTCGTTACGGTACTGGAAGTTTCAGCAATTTGCCTTAAGGCACAATGCCATACACACCATTAGTTAAATTTTTCAAATCGGTTGATCCGTGTTATCGAAATCGTCGACAAAAATTTGTACCGCACACACATACATCAATTTTTTCTAAAGTAAGCCAAAATATTCAGAAACCTTTATATGAAAATTCTCATTTTCGTTTTTTTGCGATTACTATAACTTACCCTACAGGAAGTTAATAAAACGACAAGATGATAATTAATAAAACATTACAACTACTAGGATAGAAAGACAAAACAGAAGTTATCTCATTTACTTCTCTGATGTCCACAAAATCGCTATCTCCCAGTTGGCTTCTTTTGGCATATGCGTGCTTGAAGGTTTCCACAATTCTATGCATCGTCAATATTCTAGAAGGAGTGTCCTTAACATCAGATTCGTCCATATCATATCCTCGCAAAATGTTGAAAATAAATCCAAGCAGGACTCCACTTCCTGGCGGAGGAACTTGGAAAAAAATATTGTTGAATAAATTATTATATAAAACACAATCTGAAAATCAATTTAATTTACAATAAGAACAAAAGTCAAACACATACTCGTATATTAAATAACAAATCTATGTGAATTTCGATGTAAAAACTAAAGATTTAAATGTGCCTAGATTAAGTTAGAGCAAGATTTGTCTATACTTCTGACCTGGATAAGATTTGTTAGATAATATATGTTTTTATCATTGCTCTTAATATTATATATTGCAAATTGGTATTGGTAAAAGTATATCATATATGACATTAAATTTTAACCAGGGCAGGCGGGAATGTCATTCCTTTGTATAGCTTCACAGATCTATATTATTTACAATAACTATTTTGGAATATCTTATCATTTTATTTATTTATAATTATCAATTAACTTCAAGATAAGATGAAGAGTTTAAATTGGTTTGACCCAGTAACTATATTCTAAATTAAATATTGATACATTTACTCATTTTTAGACTAATTGACCTATTCTTGGTAAAACTTATATCTTTATTATTATGTAGCACAGGCATCGGCAACCTACGGCACGCGTGCCAGGCTTGGCACGCGATGGGGTTTTGGATGGCACTCTATAAAGTAATGAGGAAAACCGGAAATATCGAGTGATTTTTAAATAAGAGAAAATGTTTAATTATAATTAATTTTCTAACGTAGCTCGCTTTGAAGCTTATGTGCCTATATTTTCCTTCCTCATAAAACCAGATTTAATAGATCCTTTAATAATACCGTTTGATTTGTTGACTTTCGAATGGATTAATGTTGATAATTTTGAAATGGAAATTATCGAACTAATATCTTCAGAATTATGAAAAACAAAATTGAAGGAATTACAAAAAAAAAACTGAAAGATGACTCTATGGAAAAATCGACAGCCATATTATATTGTTAAATGACATTGCCGGAAAAGATTTAATTGTTTAAAGAAAATTGTATGCGCTCTCCTTTCAGCTTTTGGTTCTACATATCTCTGTGAACAAATTTTTTCTCACATGAAACATATTTTGAGTTCACAAAGAAATCGTTTAACAACTAAACATTCAAAATTTTGTGTGAAATTAAAAGTTACAAATTATACCCCGGATCTTGAAATGTTAAGGAAAAGGCACAAGGTTCGCATTAAAGTTGTTTAGTTTATATTCAGTGGCGGATTAAGCTTTCTGCCGCCCTAGGCCCTATCTGATTTTTTTAATAAACAATTTTTTACTTTTTTTTCATAAACTATAATTTTATTCTAAATTACTTAAATACAACTTTTAACTTTCCGTAAAGTACTCGTAAATTATAGCAATCGCAAAAGATCGAAAATAATTTTTTTTGCATATTTTTACGTTTCAGACATTTCTGAACATTTTGGCATACCTTAAAAAAATTGATGTGTGTGTATGTATGTATGTTTCATTCTCATAGATAAGAAAGTTCTGATTAGTTTTTGGATAAGACGGGTTTAGCCGTTTGGAAAATACAGAACAAAAGTGCAAAAATTGCAATTCAGTTTTTGAAAGAACCGAGAGGCTGGTTTCCGAATAATTCAAAAAAAATTTACTTGTACTGAAGGAATGAATAATTACCTAAATTTTTGGGAAGCAGGTTTAACGGTCGACCAATCTTTTTTTTGTAATTAGTAAAAGAGAGAAAAAATTCGTCAAAGTTTCAGCCCACAATTTTAAGTCGATTTTAAAAATTCAAAAGCCATTCGAAAAATCTTGGTTGGAAATCGTATTCATTAATTTTTGGTAAAAACCTGCCGGACAGATTAGGTTTGCGGGACGATCGGACGAGCCGGTTGATTGAAATTAGCATAAAAAAGCAAAAATATTACGTTTTTGGAATAAAGCCAGAAACCTATTTTTAAAATTGAAAAAAGATTTCTGAAAGATATCAATTAGGAGTCAAAATATTTGACTATTTTAAAAATTCATCAAAGTTTGATAAAACTTCATAATCAAAATTTGTGTTAAAAGGCGCTTTTGTGATGTGATAAATCAAAATTTAATTTTCAAAAACGCCGGAACTGATTTCACAAATTAAAAAGACATTGGACTAAACTCGATAAATAGAACCGAGATATTCAAAAATTTCGAGTTTTTTTTTAAATTCTAAAGTAATTCGATTATTTGAAAATTTTAGATATTTTAATTTTCTCAAAATTTTGAAACCAGTGGACTTGCCGTTTTGGAAAACTAATCATTTCCTCATATCACTAAAATACCACGAACAAAATATTTTTTGAGTCATTCCAATCGGATGATCTGTACTCTCAAAACCTTCATGACCACTTTTGCACCTTCTGCGCTCTGTATCTCCAAAAATGCTAAACCTGTCTTTGGCATAAACAGTACGCCTCTCAGTCAAAGCCAAGTGAATATTTTTTGAATCATTCATGGTGATTGATCCTTGCAAAGGGCAATTAAACTATCTAAGAAGTAAACATTGAAAATTAAAAATCTTGGTACGGAATGATTCAAAATAATGAAGACAAAATTTGCAATAATTAATAATTTTTTTATAAAAAGTCTAATAATTTGATGTCAATGATCATTTTTTATCACCAAATGACACCTTTTTGGGTCACGCTGACCATGCTCTCGCAAAATTTTCGATAGTTCTTATTTCGTCATACAAGTAAAAAGTGTCTTGAATTATTCAAATAGGACGCTTCGTTTTTGAAAAATTGAATTAGCACTTTTTTCACTCTTTGCTCCCTATTCCAAAATGGATGGAACTGTCTTTGCAAAAAACTAATCAGCACGTCTTCCCGAATGCCAATTGGCAAAAAATTGTAACCGCATAAACACATGCATACATCCATTTTTTCTAAGGCATGTCAAAATGTTCAGGAAAACTTGAAGCGTAGAGCTATATAAAATATTTTAATTATGATTTTTTATATTTATTATAACTTAGCCTTCCTAAAGTTGAAAAAAAAGCCAATTGGAGGAAGCATACCGTATTGTCAGATATTTCAGTTTAAGATTTAATTTTATACTACAGGCATATTTAAAAAAATATATTTTCACATACAAAAAAAATGACATAAATTAATTAACAACAATGAATATATTGTGTTAATTCGCCATTGTTTGATTTAATACCGAAAATAAAACTAGAAACAATCGAACAGTTTTTAAAGCGTTTTAATTATAAGATTCACCTGAACAAAATTACAAAAAACGAACAGTTTTTCAATATTTCTTCAAAAAATCTTATCAGTTTGATAATTATTATATTAAATATGATACATCAAGAAAATATCAATGCGGCACCCACGAATAATAAATTTGATTAGAAAACACATTACGTTCTATTTCATCGAAAATGATCTCTAAATTTACAAAAAAAAATTCAGGATCTATCCTTAAAATGAATTGTCGTGTCATTTCATCGAGTTTAAAATATTTACATTTTGAAAAACTTGCCGCCCCAGGCCCGGGCCTAACGGGCCTATGGAGTAATCCAGCACTGTTTATATTAAAAATTCATGTTATTTGTTAATAAAAATATTTAAAAGATAAATTTGGTTACAATTCTTCTCCCCTAGAACCTAACTATATATTTCAAAATTAAGGTGGCACTCTAAATCATATTGGTAGAGTGGCTTGGCACACTACAGTTAAAAGCTTGCCGACCCCTGATGTAGCATATAGTATAAGCTTATTGCTTTATACTCCTGTTAATATGTAGTAAAATAAAAGAAAAGCTTATCGAACTAACAAGTTTATGCGATATTTTGTCTTAAGACAAGTTTGCATAAACTTCTCGATATGTGTAAATAATTTACTGAATAAATATGAAATCCTATTCTGCTAATCAGATCAGTTTTCAACTATATATTTCGAGAATAAAGTTTTTGCTTTCCACTAAAACAAGAACAATACGATTTCTAATTACAAACAAATATATTAAACTTATTTAATACATTTCCATTCCACTTCGTATTCAAAAATTGTTTTTTTTTATTTTTCGAAGGAGAAGTTTATGTCTTCATCAAAAAGTTCGCTAATTTTATGTTTTCTCGACGTTTCGAACCATTCAGAATCAAATGAGACCAAATTTGGAAAAAGTATGTGTGTGTGTGCGTGTATGTGAACAGATTTTTTGCCGTAGATCGACGTTTTCTCAAAAACGACTGAACCGATTTCAAAATTGTAAAAGCGATTCGATGTATCTCGATGAGGGCCGGCGATTATCAATTTTGGGCGACGATAGGCCAAGCCGTTTCTTTGTAAATAGCAGAAAAATGAAAAAAATTTGTCCACGTTTTAGCCCTCAATTCTGAATCGATTTTGAAAATTCAAAAACCGTTCGAAAAAAGATATTGGTTGGGAATCATGCTGATTAGTTTTTGGTAAAGATTGGCCGGCCATTTTCTTGTAATAAAGTGTTAAAATAATATTTCGACCATTTTCTCTCTAAAAAACTCTAAAAATTCGTCCAAGTTTGCAAAAAATAGTATCATTTTTTGGCATTTGTCAAAATTAGACCTTTCATCGACTTTTGCTCAGAAACGACCGAATCGATTTCAGAAATTTAAAAGCCATTCGATATATCTCAATGAAGCTTATCTTTTCTTAGTTTTGTGAGACGTTCGGCCGAGCAGTTTCTTTGTAATTTGGAAAAAAGTGTTAAACTTTTCGTCCACATTTAAGCTCGATTTTAAAAAATCAAAAACTGTTCGAAAGATTTTAGTTGATAATAATATTGATTAGATTTAGGTGAAAATCTACCGATCCGTTTTCTTGTAATTAACTGTTGAAAAAAATTGTAAGCCGATTTTTATGGAACTTTTTTTTGGTAATATATATCATGGTCTTAAAGAACTTACTGAAATATTACATGCCTTACGACAAGTAGCTTAATTTTAAAAACTCATCAAAGTTTGAGTAGTAGTTTTTTGACGTTTGTTAAAATTAAAATTAGACGACTTACTTGGCACAACGATAGAGTACTTGGTTTTAATGAACA